TCTCTCTCTCTCTGTTTTTCCTTTGTCAATGTTTCTCCTTTTTTTTATTATTATTATTGTCGTTTGCTCTCTTTTTGTTTATTTTATTTTATTTTTGTTTTTATTTATTATTATCTGTTGGGAAATTTTCTCAGGGGAACCTCATCCTCATAAGGAATGAGTATCTATTGGTCGTCCATATCCCCCTTTTTACTATTATTATGATTATCTTCAATTTTTTTTTTTTAGTTGTTCTTGTTTTCCTTCTTCCATATATATATATATATATATATGCTCTTGAATGAATTTATGCGTATGCCTTCTCTTTTCTTTCTATTCTTTATTTCTTTTTCTCTTCTCTTTTTCTCTTTTTTCTTATTTGTTTACTTTGGAAGGTTTTTTTTTGTTTGTTCTTATTTGGAGTATTTCTCTGTCTCTCTGTGTGGCCACGTTAGTGGTGCGGCAGCGAATCTCCCACGTCCTCTCCAATAACGCAGGAAAGGAAGAAAATAGAAAAGAACACAAAAAGAATAAAATAAAAAAAGAAAAAGAAAAAAAAAAGGAAGTTTGGTGGTCCATTAACTGATCGTGAAGAAAAGAAGGAAAAACAAAAAAAGAAAAACAGAGACGACCTTTTTTTTTTTTGCTTTTTGCAGAGAAACAAAGAAAGAAGGAGAATCAACGTGTGAAGTGAGAAGTAAAATTTGAATCCAATCAAAACCCAAACTCTTCACAGAGAAGAAGAAGAAGAAAAAGAAAAGAAAAAAAAAAAAAGGAATTTACTCTTTCTGAAAGAGAAGTGATTGAAAGAAAGAAAGAAAAAAAGAGAAAAAAGAGAAAAAAGAGAAAAAGAAAAAAAAAGCAAGAAATCATGGGAAGTCATGTGAAGTTTGATATGGTCAGTGAGAACATCATTCCAGAGAGTCACCCGGAGTGCACCGCATGGATGGTTCGTCGACTACAGGAGGAATTACAATGTGATGAGGCCGACATCAGCGGCAAACACTTACGCCTAATAAATGAATTCCTTGTCGGCGGTGATGAAATGCATGCGCTCTTCTGTTATTACCGCGGCTTTATGCAAGATGATCCTGCCGAGATGGAAGAGTTCGCCCCTTCACCAGGAAGTAAAAATGCCATTATGGTGGTGGAGCTTTGTATTGTGGATACCGTACCAGGTATTTCTAATCGTGAAGTGGCGGAGGGGATGTCTCTGGACTCCATGTACTTTTTAAGATTAGATCCCGATAAGTTAGTAGTGCCAGAGAATATTGATAGTTCCATTGCATGGGGTGTTTGTCGTGGGGGAAATCTACTGGAAAGCTTTCTTCGTACCCTTCACTATGTTATCACTCCAACACTATTAAACAATCGATGGCCCGATAGTATTGAAAAGGATGTTAACTCTTCTCTCTACCGCTTTATGGCCGCGATGACTGAAAATGTCAATCGACTGAAAGGCCGCACTGTACTGTATGTACCCAGTGATCTCACAGTTGGTGTGGGGATGAGTGAGGCCCATCATGATCGCGAATTGGTGCAGCGCTTTGAGGCTGCGGTAATTCACTGGACTCGACAAATTAAAGAAGTTGTGGGGGATAAAGATGCGGGACTCACAGGAGATGCGGCTGGACCACTGGAGGAAATTGCCTATTGGCGTTCACGTGCAAGAGATTTGGGAAATATTCGTGCCCAATTGAATCGTTCAGATGTTGCTGGTATTGTGGGAGTATTAAAAGAAGCCAAATCTTTTTATTATTTGGAACCTTTTTTAAACCTTCGTGCAGATATTGAAAAGGGTACGGAAGAAGCTTTTGATAATCTGCGATTTTTGAACACGCTGGTGGAGCCATGTACAAAGTTGTCAAAGGCTGAACCAAAGGAAATCCCAGCGTTGATTCCTGATGTACTTATTCATGCGCAGTTAATTCTTATTTACTCTAAGAGTTATAAAAAGGAACGCTTTTTCCGTCTTCTTCGATTGATATCTAATGAAATTATTTACCGTTGTAGTCAAAAGATTGACGTCCCGGCTATTCTTAACGGTGATGTTACGGATAGTATGGTGGCATTACAATACAGTGTTGCGGCAGGTGAAGCTTGGATTAAAGAATGTCACAAAATGCTTATGGCTACACGCAAACGATTTAAAATGGAAAAGGGTGAAAAACTTGACGTGGATGATTCTTTCTTAAATGAAATTGATGGTTTTGTTCGTCATCGTTGTCAGAACTTATATGAAATTTGTAAAGCTCAATTACAATTTGGATTTAAAGGATTCCGTCAAGAACAGCCACGTGGTTCAGAGCGTAGTAATACTGGTCGACACACCCGTACATCCCACAGTATTTCAGTGACTGATAAACACAATATGAGTGAAATTAGTTATGGAGCCCCTATTGAAGTGAAAGAGTTAGATTTAAAGGTTGTGCCTGTAAATGAACTCTTTGCTGGGCGATTACCCATATTTAGTGGTAGTAAAGGACCAGAAATTGAATCCCAATTGTTAGATATTCAACGAGCTTTTAAAGGAAAAATGGAAATGCTTCGTCGTCTTGATTATGATATTTTAGATGTGAAATCTACTCGTTGGGTGGATGATTTCCGTGCTTTAAAAGTAGATATTGATAACCTTTCCATGATGCTACAACAAATCATTACAGCCGCTTTTGATAGTATCAGTACAACGGAAATGGGAGCGGAATATATTGAAGCTTTTTATCTTATTGCAGAGAGTGAGGAACTTTTATTACAATTGGATCGTTGTAAAGATAGAGTTTTTCGTCTCTTGGGAGAAAATGTTTCTATGGTTCAGGGAATGTTACAACGTTACTTTAATAAAGATCCACCTGTTTTCTATTTACATCCACCTTATGCAGGTCATGCAATTTGGGCAGAGAATAATGCCTATATGTTGGATAGTAGTTCCACTGCGTTAAGACATTGTTATTACTTGCGGGATTCACCAGAGTCTTCTGATATTATGATGCTTTTTGATCGTCTTGAACGATCTTTACGAGATTCTATGCGGCAACAATACACGGATTGGAAAGCTGGACTTCCATCTAATCCAAGTGAATATCTTGATCGTTTTCTTATTACTAAACGTCCAAGTGCGGCAAAATATGGACCTGCTTTATTTGATGTGAACTTTTCACATGATTTACTCTTATTATTTGCAGAGGCACGTTATTGGCAAAGTATTGGAGAAGTCATTCCACCTAATATTATGGATATTGTCTCTAAAGAGGAAAGATTACGTATTTTTAGAGAAAATGTAGCCATAGCTGTTCGAGCACATAATAATGTGATTCTTTCCCTTACAAAAGAAGAATGTCGTCTCTTTGCATTACGTTTGAGTTTCTTGGAAAGTAAATATATGCCGGGAATGACACGATTATGGTGGAATTCTCAAGGTATTGTGGAATACTTTGTAAGAGAATGTCGTCAACAAGCTGAACGTGTACAGAATATAGTGGATGAGTTTAAATACGGTATTGAATATGTAGATCATCATTGTAAAGCCATAGCCGATACAGTGGTGGTTATTTTTGAAAAGAAGAAAGTATACTCTATTGAAGGTTTTGTAGAAAAACAAAGACATCATCGTGAAGGGATTTTAGAAAAATTACAAACTATTCATCATCGTTTAGTACAAAAATTGTATGATTTACTAAATTACTTCCGTGATGATTACGTGGAGGATGAGTCTGTGCGATCGGAGTGGCATCGTTACGTTGCGAAGGTGGAACTGAAAGTAGAAGAGGCTTTACGAACAATGGTTAAACGAACTCTGCAGACCGTAGAAAGAGCCCTTCCACTTGAACCTTCTGAAGATCGCATGGAAGAGAAGGTATTTAAACTAGATGTAGTAATTACAGTAGCCACAGATACCAAACCTCATATTGAATCCGTACCATCTGTAAAGGAATTGGGATATCAAGTGAATGGAATTTGTAAAGATATTATTGGAATTGTGAAACATATTCCACGATTGGAGGAATCCTTAAAAGCATGTGTGGCAAAGGAAACACCAGAAGAAAATGAAATCTTAAAACGTGTCCCATTAGAATATATTAATCCTAATGAAGATAGTGTGGCTTTACGAGGTTCTTACTTTGAATATATGACCAGTGAACAAGATGCTATTCAATGTTTACGCCGTATACGTGAATCCTTTGATGCTGTGGAAGAGAAAGTACGGGATAAGTTAAGTCAAACTTGGCAACTTCATCAATCTGGAACTACTGATAGTCTATGGACAACACAGAAACAAGATCGTCGTATTAAACAAGGATGGCGATTGGAGGATTATCGTATTCACATGGATCATGTCGCCCAAAGACGTGAAGGAATAAATAAACAAGAAACTTTTTCAGATGTTCTTTTTCTACAATTAGACTTTACAAAGATGAAGGAGAGTTTCCGTGTACAGTGTCAATTAGTGATTAAACATTATCATAGCCTTTTATACGCCGATGCGAAAGAGGAGATGGATCGTATTTATAATAACTTTACCACCACTGTACAAATGCTTACGAAAGAACCACAAACTCTTGATGAACTTGGTGATCAAATTAAAAAATGTGCTTCTGCGTTTGAAGGACTTACTGATATTTCTGCAAAATTTGGTCCTATTGCCGATACTTTTAAACTTATTACAAATGATCTTTACAATCATGGTAATGTGGATCCAGAGGATGTTCATCGTTGTGAAGGATTACCAGCTGCCTTTGATGAGTACTCGGATCAACTGTTAAAAGCACGACAATTGCTTGCCAAATATAAGGAACAATTCCGAAATGATTTGGAAACCGATTTACGTTCTCTGGTCTCTAACTCTTATGCTTTACGGCAAAAAGTGCAGGATGAAGGTCCACGTTCATATGCCTTTTCTACGGCGAATGCCTTTGCACAGATTGGTGTACTCGAACGTCGGGCCAAGGAATTACGAGAGACGGAGTTAAGTCTTAAACAAGGTATTGATATCTTTCATTTGGATAAACCCTCATTAGATGATTTAACCGCTGCGGAAACAGAACTTAAAGTTTTACGTACAATTTGGACATTATGTGATGAATGGCGTACACAAAGTCGTTTATGGCGTACAATGTACTTTATGAAACTTAATAGTGAAGAGATGTTAGATGTTTCTGAGCGTATTCGAAAAGATGTTTTACGTTTACGTGTGGAACTTCAACATACAGATGTTTGGGTAAAATTAAAGGAAGAAGTAGAATTAATGAAACGTCTTTTACCAATTGTAGATGATCTTCGTACACCTGCTATTCGTCCTCGTCATTGGGAATTTCTTAAGGTTCAATTAGATGCCAATTTTGATATTGAAGATGAGAAATTTTGTTTAAATGATTTAATGAAAGCACGTGTGGAAGCCCATGCGGAGTTTGTATCAAATTTGGCTACTTCTGCCCGTGAGGAAATGAAGATTGAGATGGATTTAGAAAAGATCCGTACCTTCTGGGAAGAGGCCACTTTCACTATTGAACCTCATCAAGGTTATCATAAGATTACAGGTGTGGATGATATTAATAATGTACTCGCTGAACATTTGGCAATGTTAAGTACAATGAAAATGTCACGTTTTGTGGATAGTTTCCGTTCAAAAGTGGTGAACTGGGAACAGACATTATCTATGGCAACTGATACTATTGAGGCATTATTAACCGTTCAAACAAAATGGATGTATCTTGAAAATATCTTTATTGGAAGTGAAGATATTAAACGTAAACTTGCAGCGGAATCTAAGAAATTTGATAGTGTTCATTCACAATGGCTTTCTATTATTTCACGTCTTATCAATGATCCAAATGTGGTTCGTGGAACTAGACGAGATGGTCTTATGGATCAATTAAATGGAATGAATAATGATCTTGAAATGATTCAAAAGAGTCTTGAAGGGTTTCTTGAAGATCGTCGTCGTGTATTCCCACGTTTTTACTTTTTATCTAATGATGATTTACTTGAAATTCTTGGCCATACAAAAGAACCCGCAAAAGTACAACCTCATTTACGAAAGTGTTTTGAAGGATTATATCAATTATCTCTTAAAACGGTTCGACAGAAGATCACAGCGGAGGGAATGTCCTCTGCAGATGGAGAATCCGTTCCTTTTATTCCCGCCGTGCAGGTGGAAGGATTACCGGTGGAATCATGGCTACGACGTGTGGAGATGAAAATGCGAGAAACTATGCAAAAACGTATTAACGCTACTTTAGATGATTTACAAAAGAATGTTTTTGACTCTGCGAAACCTATTTCTCGTGATAAATTGAAAGCTTGGGTGGAACGTAATGAAGGACAATCTCTTATTACGGCAGCTTGTATTAATTGGACGTTTTTAACAGAACTTGCCATTATGGAATATGGAGATTTACACGCTGGTGGACTTTCTCTACAACGTCGTAAAGCTTCTCCATTATATAAGGTATATAAAAGATGGAAAGGTATTATTAAAAAGTATTGTCAATTAGTTCGTCAACCACAAAGTCGTATGCAACGAAATAAACTTGTGGCTCTTATTACGATTGAAGTTCATTCCCGTGATATTCTTCGACAATTACTCGCTACACGAGTTCATCAAGAAGATGATTTTGAATGGTCTCGACAACTTCGTTTTTACAAGGAAGATGATGATACCGCCGAACGTCCACAAGATGCTCCTAAAGTTTGTATTGTTCGACAAACTTCTGCTACAGTTCGGTATGATTATGAATATTTAGGCAATAGTGGACGACTTGTTGTAACTGGATTAACCGATCGTGCTTATATGACCTTAACAACAGCTCTTCAATTACATCGTGGTGGTCTTCCACAAGGACCTGCAGGTACGGGTAAAACAGAAACTGTAAAAGATCTTGGAAAAGGAATTGGTAAATATGTGATGGTGTTTAACTGTTCAGATGGTCTTGATTATAAATCGGTTGGTCGTATGTTAAGTGGTATTGCTCAAACAGGTTCATGGTCTTGTTTTGATGAGTTTAATCGTATTGAGGTAGAGGTGTTATCTGTTGTGGCCCAACAAATTTTATCTATTCTCTCTGCCGTTGCTGAACGTAAAAGTCGTTTCCTTTTTGAAGGATCTGATATTCCACTTAATATGAATTGTGGTCTCTTTGTTACGATGAATCCTGGCTACGCTGGACGTTCAGAATTACCAGATAATCTCAAGGCCTTATTACGACCTATATCTATGATGGTACCAGATTTTGCTCTTATTTGTGAGATTACACTACTTTCAGAAGGATTTGAGGAATCTGAAATACTCTCTAAGAAGGTATCAATTCTGTATGAATTAATGGAGAAACAACTTTCTAAACAGGATCATTATGATTTCTCACTTCGTAATATTAAAGCTGTACTTGTACAAGCAGGAAATTTAAAACGTGAAAACTTCCCAGGTACAGAATCTCAACTTTGTCTTAAGGCTATGAGTGATATGAATTTACCAAAGTTTGTAAAGGAAGATGTTCCCTTATTCCTTGGTATGTTAAGTGATTTATTCCCTGGTGTTGTACCAGAAGAAAGTGGTTTGGATAATCTTCGATCAGCTGCAGAGGAAGAACTGAAAGAAGAAGGTCTTGAAGTAAATGAACATATTGTTATTAAAAGTCTTCAATTATGGGATACTTTACGTACACGTCATGGTGTCATGGTGGTTGGTCAAACAGGATCTGGTAAAACCGTCACTTGGCGTAATTTAAGTGGAGCATTACGTCGATTAAAGGAAAAGAATTGTGAACCTGGTTTATATGAACCCGTACGAGTTTCTTTACTAAATCCTAAATCCGTTACAATGGATGAACTCTATGGTAGTTATAATCAAGCAACACGAGAATGGAAAGATGGTATTCTCTCAGATATTATGCGGCAAATATGTAGAGATGTAACAGATCCAACCTATAAATGGATGTTATTTGATGGTCCTGTAGATACTCTTTGGATTGAATCTATGAATACCGTTTTGGATGATAATAAGATGTTAACTCTAAACTCTGGTGAACGTATTACACTAAATCCTACTGTTCGTATGTTATTTGAAGTTCAAGATCTTTCACAGGCTTCACCGGCTACTGTTTCCCGTTGTGGTATGGTTTACTTTAGTGTAGCGGATCTTGGTTGGAAACCGTTTTTAAAAACGTGGTTAAAATCTCGATGGAATTTTGAAATTGCGATGGGTGCCCCTCGTCCAGATGATACGATTCAAGAATTGGAAGAATTTTGTAAAACCACCTTAACGGGTGTGTTAGAGTATCGTCAAGCGGAATGTGTGGAATTATTCCCTACATCTACATTAAGTGTTGTTCGTTCTTTTACTCGCATGTTTGATGCTCTTGCGAATGTAGATGCCGCTCCTTGTGTGCCTGGTGGGACTACTTACGCCACTTCACACGCTGGTGAGAATTATTTACCGCAATTACGAATAATGGCAACTTTCTGTCTTATGTGGTCTGCTGGTGGTTCTCTAACAGTGGAATCTCGTCAAAAACTAGATGCGTATATGCGAGAATTGGATTCTTCTTTTCCATCTACAGAAACGATTTTTGAATACTATCCAGATCTTGCCTCTTTACAATGGAAGAATTGGGAAGATCATGTGGATTTGCAAAAACCATTTTCTCCTCCACCAGGTACACCCTATCATAGACAAATTGTCCCAACTGTGGATACGGTTCGTTATCAATATATTGTAGGAGAACTGGTACGTAGTCAAGTTCAATTGGTGTTGGTTGGAAATACAGGAACAGGAAAGTCTTTAATTGCCCGACAAGTAATGCGTGCCTTAAATAATGATACTTATGTTACGACACAATTAAACTTTTCTGCTCAAACTACTGCTAAAAATGTACAAGATATTATTGAAGGACGTATGGAGCATAAATCTAAAAAGGTTTGTTGTCCTCCAGGTGGACGTCGTATGATTTGTCTTGTAGAAGATCTTAATATGCCTGCTAAAGAAAAGTTTGGAGCTCAACCACCTTTGGAATTACTTCGTCAATGGATTGATAATGGTTTCTGGTATGATCGTAATACAAGATCTCGTCGACAAGTAAATGATATGCAACTTCTTTGTTGTATGACCTATGGAAGACCTGATATTACACCACGTTTAATGACCAAATTAAATGTATTTAATATTACTTTCCCTGCAGAGTCTGTCATTACGAAAATATTTACCGCCATTCTTTCTCATCGTCTTGAAAAATACCCTGAACTTCATAAAATGGTGGATGCTCTTGTAAAAGCTACAATACAAACATATCAACGTGTTTCCAGAGATTTACTTCCTATTCCAAGTAAATCACATTATCTATTTAACTTGCGTGATCTCAGTAAAGTATTTCAAGGCATTTATGGTTGTTATATGGAAGGTTTACAATGTAAAGAACATATGGTGGCCCTTTGGGCTCATGAATGTTTACGTGTCTTCTCTGATCGTATGAATGATCCTAACGATAAACAATGGTTCCGAAATATTATTTATGATAAACTAGCAAATGTATTTCAAACCAAGTGGAGTAATATTATGCGTTCCCGATCTCGTGAGGCCCGTTCTCAACCCGTGAATGAACATGAGAATCCCCTTTTTGTAGACTTCTGGGATGGTGAATATGATGAGATGGCGAAGTATCGTCTGGTGCCAAGTATGGAAGCCCTGCGAGAGAAAGTGGAAGAAGGCCTTGAACTTTACAATGGCGAACCGGGCGCACGGCAAATGCAACTCGTCTTTTTCACAGACGCTCTTGAACATCTCTGTCGTATTCATCGTATTATTCGACAACCTCGTGGAAATGCTCTTTTGGTTGGACTTGGTGGAAGTGGTCGATATTCACTTACTCGACTGGCTAGTTATCTCGCAGGATATGGTATTTTCTCTATTGAGATTCATAAAAAGTATGATTCGGATCGATTTCATGATGATTTACGGGCCTTATATAAGGCATGTGGTTTAAAAATGCAGCAAAAGGTATTTTACTTTTCAGATAATCAAATTATGCAACCATCATTCTTGGAAGATCTTAATAATATGCTTTCCACAGGAGAAGTTCCAAATTTATTCCCAAAGGATGAATTACAGAATATACGAGATACTGTTTACAAAGAGGCTATTGAGAGTGGATGTCGAGATACCACAGATGAAATGTATAATTTCTTTATTGACCGTGCACGTGTGAATTTACATCTTGTTGTTGCCATGTCTCCCGCACATAAACTCTTCCGAACTCGTTTAAGACAATTCCCTGCATTAGTCTCTTGTACTTCTATTGATTGGTTTGTGGAATGGCCAAATGAGGCTCTTCGTGAAGTGGGTCTTCGTTATCTTGAAGAGACACGTGAGAATAATGAAAATGATGAAGACTTATCACTCATTGCAGATGTATTTGTTCACATGCATGATACTACGAGTAGCACTTCTGTAGAAATGTTAGAACAAATTCATCGTTATAATTATGTAACTCCTTCATCTTATTTAGATTTGGTTCGTGGTTTCCGAAAGATGCTTTCACAGAAACGAGATGATATTCTTGAGCAGCGTGATAAACTTTCTAATGGTATGGCTAAATTAGAGGAAACTAAATTAGCTGTTGGAAAAATGACAGAAGAACTAAAAGTTCAGGATGCGAAATTACAAGAGAAAACACAAGAAGTGAATCGGGCAACAGAGAGTATTCAAGTTCAACAACAAAATGCCGAAGAACAACAAAGTATGCTCGCTGCAGAAAAGGTTAAAATTGAACAATCCAAACGTTCTGCATTAGCTGATCAAGCAGAAGCACAGGCAGATTTGGATCGTGCAATGCCAACACTTCTGGAAGCTCAAGCCGCATTAGATAAATTAGATAAGAATGATATTAATGAAATTAAATCTTATAAAACTCCTGCTGCGATGATTCGAACTGTGATGGAAGCTGTACAGACAACTCTACGTAGAAAACTTGACTGGGATGAAGCGAAGAAATCTTTAAGTGAACCTAAATTTATTGATATGTTAAAACATTATCATGAAAATAATGATATGACAGATCAAAGATTATTAGATAAGATTGAAAAATATGTAAAACGTCCAGATTTTACACCTGCGGCTGCTAGTGCGGTATCCAAAGCTGCAGGTGGACTTTGTCAATGGGTTATTGCTATTCATAAGTATGGAAATATTTATAAAGAGGTTCATCCTAAAATCTTAAAGAATGAAAATGCCCAACAAAAGGTTCGAGCCCAAGAGGAAATGTTACGACAAAAGGAAGATAAACTTCAACGTATTATGAATGAGGTAAAAGAATTAGAATTGGCTTTACAATCCAATATTGATGAAAAAACACGTTTAATGGCAGAAGCAAAAGAAACACAAATGAAATTAAATCGTGCTCGTATTATTGTAGATGGTCTTGAAGGAGAACGTGATCGTTGGATTGAGTCTATTGCCCGATATGAAGCTGCTCTTGGAAATCTTATTGGGGATACTTTGTTAGTTTGTGGTTTTCTCTGCTACTCCGGTGCCTTCACGGCGGATTACCGTCAGAAACTGTGGCTTAGTTGGATTAAAGAAATTAAAAGATTACAAATCCCCATGACGAAGAACTTTGACTTTGTAGACTTTCTTGTGGATCCAACAGAAGTACGTGATTGGCAACAGGCTGGACTTCCTGGTGATGATTTCAGTAGAGAGAATGGAGCTGTGGTGATGCGGGGAACTCGATGGCCGTTGATGATTGATCCTCAATTACAAGCCATTAAATGGATTAAACGAATGGAAAAAGATAGTGGATTAAAAGTAATTGATCAGAAACAAGCAGATTTTCAAAAAACAGTAGAATATGCGGTACAATTTGGTTGTCCATTACTTTTACAAGATATACTAGAGGAGATTGATCCACTTTTGGATTCTGTGATTTCTAAAGCTATTGTTCGAAAAGGAAATAAATCCATGATGAAAATTGGAGATAATTATGTGGAATATAATGAGAGTTTTAAATTATATATTACAACTCGTTTATCTAATCCACATTATACACCAGAGACTTGTACACGAGTATGTTTACTTAATTTTGCGGTCCGAGAAACTGGATTAGAAGAACAATTACTTAAAATTGTTGTGGAAAAGGAGAAACCAGAATTAGAACGTGATAATGAACAACTTATTTTGGATACAGCAGCAGCAAAGAAGGAAACCAAACGTTTAGAAGATGAAATTTTAAATCTTCTTTCTACTTCACAAGTATCATTATTAGAAAATCAAAAACTTGTAGATACCTTACAATCTGCTAAAGTTATTGCCTCTAATATTAAACAACAATTAAAAGAAGCTGAAATTACAGCTGAAAAGATTCAAAGTGCACGTGAACAATATCGTGAATGTGCCCGACGAGCATCTATTCTATTCTTTGTATTAGCAGATCTTGGTTCTATTGATGCTATGTATCAATTCGCATTGGATTCTTATATTATATTATTTCAAGGAAGTATTAAACGTTCTGCGGAAAAAATTATTACCCATTCACTTGAAGAACGAGTGAAAACATTAAATGATTGGCATACAAATGCTGTATATGCAAATACTTGTCGTGGATTATTTGAAAAACATAAATTACTTTTTGCTTTCCATATGACAATGCGTATTTTACAAGCAGAGGGACATGTAAACTTGGAAGAATATGTATTCCTTATGCGAGGAGGACAAGTTTTAGATAAACAAGGACGTTTACCAAATCCTGCACCTTCTTGGTTATCTGAACGGGCTTGGAGTCATATTCTTGAACTTGATAAACTTACTAATTTTCATGGAGTTGCCGCTTCTTTTGAACAGGCTCAGGAATCATGGCATCATTGGTTTTTACAGGAAAATCCAGAAAATACAGAATTACCAGATGAATGGCAAACTCGTACTGCAGATAATTATATTCAACGAATGATTTTTGTACGTTGTCTTCGTTTAGATCGTGTTGTTTTTATGGTATATGAATTTATTGAAAATCAACTTGGTGCACAATTTGTGGATCCACCTCCATTTAATTTAAAAGATACTTATGAAGAGAGTGCGAATGTGATTCCTCTTGTTTTTGTACTTTCACCTGGTGTGGATCCAACCAATCAATTATTAACATTAGCCCAACGTGAAGGACGACATCTTAAGACCTTGGCACTTGGTCAAGGTCAAGGTGATAATGCGAAACGGGCTATTCAGGAATGTGCTCAAACCGGTGGATGGGTATTTTTGGCAAATTGTCATCTTATGGTATCTTGGTTAGTAGAGTTGGAAAAGATTATTGAAGATTTAGCAGAACAACGTCCACATGCCGATTTCCGTTTATGGCTTAGTTCTGTACCAACTCCACAATTCCCTATTGGTATTCTACAAAAAGCTATTAAGATGACAACAGAACCACCAACAGGTATTAAATCTAATATGCTTCGTCTCTATAATCAATTTTCTGAAGAACAATTTACAGAGCATGCTGGTTCTAATCCACAGTTTTACCGCAGTTTATTATTTTCACTTTGTTTCTTCCACTCTGTCTTATTGGAAAGACGAAAGTTTGGAAATCTTGGTTATAATGTGGTATATGATTTTACCACCTCTGATTTTGAGGTATCGGAGAATATTATCACTTTATATATTGGTAAAATGCCATCTGATAGGGTTGAAGATATTCCTTTTGTTACAATTCGTTATTTAATTGCAGAAGCTTCCTATGGTGGACGTGTCACAGATGATTGGGATCGTCGAGTATTAAAGACATATATTGAACAATTTATGTGTGAGAAGATAGTAACAGAAGAACGTTATCCACTTTCCGCAGCTGCAGAATATTATATTCCAGCTGAAGCCACTACATTACAATCCTATAAGGATGAATGTATGCAATTACCCATTACAGATCCACCAGAGGCTTTTGGTCAACATGCGAATGCCGATATTGCCAGTCGTGTGGCAGAGTCTACAATGCTTTTGGAGAATCTTATTAGTGTTAATACCACACTTGCACGTAGTGGAGGTTCAAGTGCAAGTTCTGCTAAAGTGGTATCGGAAGAATCCCGTTGTCTTGAAATTCTCGCTTCCCTTGAAGAACCAAGTAAGGCGGCTATTCCTGCACTTATTGACTATGATGCGGTGTATGAATCTGTAAAGGAAGATACCAATAATGCTTTGAATACATGTCTATTACAAGAGATTCAACGATATAATGTACTTCTTCGTAAAATTATTGCCCAAAAGAAGGAACTTCGCCGTGCGGTAAAAGGTGAAGTCGTGATGAGTGATGAATTGGAAAGTGTCTTCAATGCTCTTCTCCTTGGACGTGTCCCACCACCATGGACAAGTGCCTATCCAAGTATTAAACCACTGGCAAGTTGGTCTGTAGATCTTGTGGAGCGAATAGAGCAGATGAAGCAATGGGGACAACGTGTACCAAATGTATTTTGGCTCTCCGGCTTCACATATCCCACAGGCTTTCTTAAGAGTCTTCAACAGCAACAGGCAAGACATGATCATATCTCTATTGATCAATACACATGGGAGTTTACAGTATTACCAAGTGAGGAACGTACAATTGTCCATCGTGCGAAAAAAGGTGCTTATGTGCGGGGTATATTCCTCGAAGGGGCGGGTTGGAATGCGGAGACCCACACACTCTGCGAACCCCGTCCATTAGAGTTAATTGTCCCGATGCCCATCATTCACTTTAAACCTCGACTGCGTGGGGCGAAGAGCGGAGAGGCCGCCGCTGCTGCAGGAGCCGCTGGAAGTGTGTATGAGTGTCCACTCTATATGTATCCCGTGCGTACAGGCACTCGTGAGCGGCCGTCGTTTGTGGTCGCCGTCGATCTCGACCCCGGCGAGGCGGAACCACAACACTACACAAAACGTGGAACAGCACTTTTGCTCTCCACAGATGAATAGAAGTAAAGAAAAAGAAAAAGAAAGAGAAAAAAAAAGAAAAAGAAAAGAAAAGAAAGGGTATGTTTGTGTGTGTGTGTTAGCTAGGTGTATGTTTGGGGTGTGGCGGAGGGATGGAAGTGAAGAAAACTACGGTAGAAATGAGAGGTATAGATCTAAGGTGTGTTGTTCTCCTCCCTCTCTTTTTCTGTCTTTTTCTCTATACACACAGAGAGAGAAAGAGAGGAAAAGAGAGAGAGAAAAAAAAAAAAAAAAAAAAAAACGCACATCCATACATTCCCTACCCCTTCCTACTATACACAAAATACGAACAATGCAAAAAAAAAAAAAAAAAAGCAATTGATTCTGTATTCACACCTGGCACATCATGTATGATAAAGAGACAGAGCGAGAAAAAGAAGAGAGAATGAATAGAAAAAAAAAAAAAACAACGAAAACAAACAAAAAAGAACGAACAGCAAAACATTAACTCTATGTAAGTAGCTGCAAGAGTCATTATTCTTAAAACTCTTCAATGGATGTATACTTCAAATCTCTTCTTATTCGTACGATTATCTTGGATAGTATTTGAAACCAAATTTTCTTCTTTTACCAATCTAACTCATATATGGTGTGAATGCTGCAGTACAAGGAGAAAATATATAAGTAATGATATTTAACCTTTTTTTATATATATTTATTTATTTCTTTTACTTTTTTTTTCTTTATTTTCTTTCTTTCTTTCTTTAGGACAGTTGCGTAGTTTTTTTTGTTGTTCTCTCACTCTATTCAGAGGGGTGGTATAAACTAAAACAAAACTAAAAAAAAAAAAAAAAGAAGACGGGAATTATCTGATATCGAAACATCAAAAGAAATAGAATAATAATAATAACAAATTAGAGTAAAAAAAAAAAAAAAATGCCTAACTGGGGAGCAGAAGAAAAACGCGTTACCAATAGCAAAGAGCTACGTGATGTGGATATGTATGTATATACACTTCCTGCCGGACTTTTGGGTACTTTTATTGGTCGAGCCCTCCGTTTCCGTGTGGGGAGCTTTGCCTACACCGTCAGCACAAAAGACCGCGCGCTTAAATCTGTGGAAGTGGACGCGGACTCTCTGCAGCCGCAGTGTGAAGTTGACCGCCGTAAGTTTGAGCGGGTTGGATTGACCGCCTCCGAGATGGAGCGTGTGGCCCGGCGGACCAGCAGTTATGTACTGAACGCCGCCAGCTTTCCCCGCATTGTCTACACCGTGGAGCAGCAAAGTGAGGAGGATATTGCGGGAAAACTGCAGTTGCGAGGGGAAACACATCCGGTGCAGTGCAGTAAAGTAGTGGAGGGGCCGGAGCTCATTGTGCGGTGTCCAATCGACACACGACTCTTTCATGTTCCGTTGTACTCGCAGTTGTTTGGATTGCTGAGTGTTTCACCACACGTGGAGGTGGAGACACGGGTTCCACTAAAGGTACTGAGATTGTGAGAGAGAGAGAGAGAGAGAGAGA